AATCCCAGAAGCACCATTTGCTCTCTTGATGAAGCAGGGATTTCTTTAGTGGGGCTTTCAGTAAGGCAGTGAAAGCTGAGGTAGCTGTACTAGCATGCTCAAGTACTAAGAAAGGATATACTTCATTCCCAATGTCTTCCCACCTTACTAATAAAAATACTGGAATTTTGCTTTAGAAATGAGGTAGGCTCTTATTTTATCTGTATAAAAAATTAGTGTCATGGGGGATTTCCTTTTTCACAGAAGGCTAGATTGTATCCATTTAGTATGGTAAATTTAATTTTAAAAGAGGGTTCTTTGAATGTGTAAGGAATCTTGGTGTCTTGGTGCATTACGTGTTGAATGGCTAACCACAAGGTCATCAGTTCGAACTCACCAGCCACTCTGAGGGAACTATGAAGCTCCCATTAAGCCTGAGCTCAGAAACCCTAGGGAGTAGTTCTCCTCTACCCTGTAGGATTGCTGAGCCAGAATCAATTCTAGCAGTGGGTTTTAATGTAGAGATGTCAAAATCACTGTGTACAGTTTAAAATTTGATAGTAACAATAATAAAAAGAAAAGTTATGTACACTACTCTCTCAAGTTTCAAGTTCTCAGTGATTCAAAGATGGGGCTGATTTTTTTAAATGGTCTTTGTTGTCTCAGAAGGAGTCATCTGATTTAGTCCACATTATGGACTAAATTTGGTTCTAAGCGGTGTGTAGTTTTCACATTTAGCTTCAGGGCTTTGGTCCTTTTAAATTGAGAATTAGACCAGTCCCGCTCTGTGCTGTATTTATAACACGCTGTCCTTGTTATTTCCACCTTGATAGTTTTTGCCCAGGAACCTTTCTCTGCCTCCACTCTAGCCAGTCTTCATTGCTTCCACCAAACCACTGACAAAAACCAGTGGTGTGTGGGTTTTTTTAAGATTTGAATTAAGCTGTTATGTGTATGCATTTTTCTGTGATCTAAGACACCATTTGGTTTTCAAATCTAAAATTTGTGTGTTTAACATAAAAAAGTAATCAAGTTCTGCTTTGTTTCTTTTAGAACAACATGTTGGGAAAGACAACAAGCTCTAATCTATACTTAACATTTATACCAACAACAAAGACCTTCTCAGTGTTAGAAATTTCCTAAAGTGTTATAAATACTTGCTTAATTATCTCCACATTTGCCAGTCTAGCAGAGCTAATGTAACTTCAGCAGTGTCTCCACCTGCACTCACTCCAGGCACCATGCACGTCCATGCAGCCCCACCCAGGCGGGTCATGCTCCTCAGTATGCTCTGTGAACGGGCAGCCTTCTCTCTGGAAATATTGAACCCTAAGCATTTAATTAACAATTACAGTTTTAAAAGTTAGCACAAAAGGTGTCAATTATATAAATATAAAACATATCATTCCTCCCAAATACCTTCACGAGGAAACTTAAGATGCGCACGCAGACCATTAGAACTCTAGCTCGGAGTGCCGCCTTTGAGCAGGCCATCTTCCAGTGTGTGTGGATCAACCCCTGAAACTACGAAGGGGCTTCAAGAGGAAAAAGGCATGAAGAGACAGGGGGCTGCTATGTATCGGCACATCAGCAAGCCAGGTGGCTGAGTCAGGTGCTAGTGGACTGTTCCTCAAGGTCCCGAAGGGCAGGGAGAAGTAAAGGGAAGAAGTGAGGACCAGGAGGGGAAGAGTAAGAACAAGGAGCCAATAGGAGGGCCTGAAAGTCAGTTCTCAGAGCTGCCCACCTCCTTTTCTATTGATTTATCAGCAAACCCATGTGGATGGAGGACATTTTTAGGAATAACACTGGTATAAATTGAAATAGAGCTAAGAGGCATTAGAATTACTAAAAGTAAACATTTTCACCTTGCAGCTGAATGTACATGGCTTTAAAGGTGGGCAGAGCCTGTGAGATCATCTGCAGACATGTGCAGACATGGACCATGGGATGGTGAGTGTAAATGAAGTCCTGTTGCCAGTTAGGAACAGAAGCCGATGCTCGAGGCCAGCACCGGGCACACTTCAGTGGAAACAACAAGTCTTGAAACAGGGCCATAGAGAAGGCACTGCAAGTGAGCACAAGGAGATCGGTGACTCAAGTGCTGACAATCCGGTAGCATATTATTACTGAACTGGAGGACCCCAACGATACCCACTGCAATGAGGTCTAACGTTTTCTGCAGACCCTTGGGCATCTGCTGTAATAGTAGCTGATCCAGAGTTTCAATAAAGAACTATCCCCTTCTTAAGGGGATGTTGGCCTTAAAGGTCAGAACCTTTTGAATTTGAGAATTTGCTGAATCTTACCAGAATTAGAAAGGAGCCCTGGTGTCACTGTGGGCTAAGGAAGCATTGGGCTGCTAACCACAAGGTTAGTGGCTCAAACCCACCAGCTGCTCTGAGGGAGAAAGATGAGGCTGATTTGTTCCAAGCAGACTTTGTCTCAGAAACCCTAAGGAGCAGCTCTCCTCTGTCCTTTTGAGAGTAAAGTAGGAGTCAGCATCAACTCCATGTCATTGGGTCATTCCCAGAATGAAGATGCTGACATAGAAAGCAGAGCTCTCTGACTGTACTCCTTTCCTGTCAGAAAACGAACTGGATCAAACAAAACAAGTGAAGGCCCCACAAAGCGACTTTATTGCCGTAGTAACATTCTAGTTAGAAATTTATAATCTTTTTGACTGCAAGACTAATAACAATATTTATTCGTCCAACACTAACATAAAATCATAATGAAAATATGACAAAATAATAATTTATAAATTATCAAGGGCTCATGAGGGAGCGGGGAGCGGGGAGCGGGGAGGGAGGGGAAAAAATGAGGACCTGATGCCAGGGGCTTAGGTGGAGAGCAAATGTTTTGCAAATGCTGAAGGCAATGAATGTACAAATGTGCTTTACAGAACTGATGTGTGTATGGATTGTGATGAGTTGTATGAGCTCCGAATAAAATAATAAAATAATAATAATGAATATTAATATTAAGCATTTTCTTGGTTTTACTTATTGAACACACAACAAATTATTAAGTATGCATCTTAAGGAATTTAGCATCTTACCTTTATACTTAAAACAACTGGTATTATTACAGCAGAGCACTCTCTGAAGTCCATTATTGTGGGCCTTTTTCAGCATACGGAGCCCTGACAGCGCAGTGGTGAAGTGCTCCGCTACTGGCCAGCGGGTCAGGAGTTCGAGCCCACCAGCTGCGCCACAGGCAAAAGACGGGGCAGTCTGCTTCTGTAAAGATTATAGCCTTGGCTCCCTGGTGGGCCAGTTCTATGCGTCACGGGGTTGAGTCAGAATCGCCTTGAGAGCGACAGGTGTGAGTTGGGGCTTTGCAGTGATACTTCCAGTTTGATTCATTCCATTTAGACCAGACTACATGTGTCATAATACATGCCATGCAGGAGAATGGTATTATAATACATAAGATATTTGCTGTTTTAATGTGGAAACTCATCAAGCAAGATTAACTCTTTGGATTTCAGATTAGTATTTCCCCCCTCTAAAACCAGCCAAATTTTGGAAGGAAAAATATTTTAGAGGTCTAAATTTTCCATTTCAGAATTACTCATTCTATAAAATGGGAGGTCTTTAGGAAATTGTGCTAAAACTACTATTTTTTTTTTTAAAAAGCAAACCTTTTATGATGGCAGGCTTGATGGCTGATCTCATCTGTGATTTTGCTTAACTTCCCAACTGCACTGACAAGAATGAGGAAGTCCTTTTTATAGAATCGAGCCTAAAGAGAGAATTTCATAATGTATTACCATTTCTGAATCATTTTCTAAACACCTAGAGCATGAAAAGTCAATGTGGCCCAAGTATGTATTATTTTTTCCTGCAACACAGGAAATTACACAGATAAATTACCTAAGTGCCTGAGTATGAAATTTAGGAATATTAGAAATAGTGAGTTGCTGGACATCTTCACAGTCAAAATAATTTAAAATCTTAGTAAAAATAAATCCCACAAAGTCTCTGATCTTTCAAGGTGGCAGATGAAAGAAAACGATTTCATTAACTGCCTCCCTTCTCTCCCCCAAATCCATACCCACACACCCGTACGCCCTCCAGGCATCTCTTCCCTCAGCTGAAGGCACACACACAGCACTGTGCCTCTCAGAGCCCAGAGGGGCTACAGAGAAAGGGAGATGATGCTCCTCTTACAGATGATTTAGAAACAGGCCCTGAGCTTGGTTATAAAGACAGCATCCTTTCTACGTTAAGAAACTACATTCAAGAAGTCTGTACATCAGTAGCTAGGATTTAAACAGACCTGGCATATTGTTAGGTTTTGTTACTCTAAATAAAGAAATAAAAATTTTAGGATACTGACATAAATCTCAGGTAGAAGGAAAATGATTTTTGTCTTTGTAAACGAGTCTGGGTCATGGCATGACTTTGACACTCTCGATGGAGCCCTGGTAGCACCATGGTGAGCGCTCGGCAGCTCAGGGTTTGAACCCACCAGCGAGTCCACAGGAGCAGGCTGTGCAGTCAGCTGCTGTAACAATGTACAGCCTTGCAAACCCTACTGCGCAGCTCTACTCTGTCCTGCGGCGTCGCACTGAGTCAGCATCAACTCAATGGCAATGGGTTTTTTGCAACTCCTAACTTTCTTACCATATTCTCTATAGAACAGAAAACAATGGGAATAATAATGGTATGCACAGCAGGATAAATTTAAAAAGTGAAAACTTTTGCTAGAAAGTTTGAAAATGGAGGAGCTACTACCAATTAATTTCATAAACCAATTTAAGTAGTTGTTCCTATCAGAAGTGGATATTTTATTCATGAATGCAACTCACTGTAGCTGTCAAATGGATTCTGTCTAAGAACAGCCCTCTAGGGCATAAGAGAATTACACCATAGGGTTTCCAAGGCTGTAAATCTTTCTGAGAACAGACATCCTCTTCTTTCTCTTCCCCAAGCAGCTGGCGGGTTTGAGCCACTGACCTTACTGTTAGCAGTCCAATACATCACTCGTGGTATGAAGTAGGTCTCTCCCCAACGTACCTCAGGGCCTGCAGCTACTACCGGATAACTTGCCCAATCATGCTTCTGCTTAAACATCGGCCCTAGTGGTGTGTGCAGTGGTTTGAGCATTGGGTCTCTAATCTCAAGATTGGTGGTTCAAACCTACCGTAAGCCACTCTGCAGGAGAAAAATGAGATTACCTGCTCTCATAAAGACTTCTTCTCAGAAACCCTAAGGAGCAGGTCTACTCCGTCCGGTAGGGCTGCTATGAGTTGAAATTGACTGGATGGCAGTGGTTAGTGCCGACAAATCCAGAAGTCTGAAAAATTCTAAGTTAAAATTGCCAGAACACCTTTCACTCATTCTATTTTTATTATTACAATTTAAACAAATTAAGAAATATGGGGTGCTCCTGGCTACTTGAGTAAACACTCCAAACTCAAAGGAGACACAGGTCAGTAGAGGGGTGCCTGGTCTCTACACTGCCCTGGCTTTATGAGCAGGAACCCTGCATCTCACACTCGGACTCTGAATACACAGGGTTTCAGAGAGTCTGTGGAAAAAGTCCATTGTCTTTTCATTCATTTTTCCATGAACGTTTGAAGCCCTGAGCTCTACACTCTCCGTGCATTCTTAGCCTCTGTTCCCAGAAAGGCTCCAGGGCACTGGAGCAAATCAGGATATCTTAATCGTTTCACAGCTTATTGACAGAAGGCTCCCACTAGATCACAGACTTGAGGTTTAGGCAGATCCGGTATTGTCTGGAATCCAGGGCCAGATTTTGTGAAAGGTTTCTGCGTAGCAGAAGCTAGAGCAAAGGAACCAGATCAATTACCAGGTGAGGCAACGAGCAGTAATTCCATCCAGTCCTAACCAAACTGCAACCCTTTTAGTGTAGATTTGAGGTATTTAAAATTATTTGCACAAGCTAAATAGCATTCACAGTTTCCAAAGTTGCTTTTTACAGAGATAGCTTCAGATTTTCACAATTAAATAAAATTTGACTTTCAGACCTCCTCTCACATATCAGAGCCCGCCCCCAGACTCGTGGGTAAAAAGGTTCTATTTCCCTAATGTTGATTTTTAAAAAAATAATAAATGTATGATTTATAGAAAAGGAAGACTTGCTTTAGCTTCTGGAAGCAAGTCCGGTCTGGTGCAGATATGTGAGCTATTAAATAACAGAGTCAGACTCTTTCTTGAGGAGTCCAGCCGAGCTGGAGAGCACAGAGTTCTGGTTCTCCTCCAACATTTTCTCCATCTTTTCTCCTCCGGGGCTTTGGCTGGTGCCTCCTTGCGTCTTACTATGGATCCACGGGATCAAACAGAGCACCACACCTCCGACCAGGGGCGGGATTCCAGCAAGATAGAATGCCACGTCATAGGAGCCCAGATTGTCCCGAAGTAACCCTGCGAAGGGAAAAAGCCGTCACTGAGAAAGAATAAGAGGCTCTTTGGGGTTCTCATCAGTCGGGTTGAGAGTCTACCCAGTTAGCACCATCAGCTCAGCAGAACTGGTTCCAGCAACATCTCTGCTGTGGTCGATAGACCACCTAGATGAAATTTCTCTCCCACACACACCTCAAAATGTCTACATTTCAAACTGCTCTTGGGCTTATTTGCTTTTTTATAAAATAACATTTTTGTTTTTGTTTTTGAGGAAATGGGTCTGAAATACAGGCTTTTCTGAGCCAAAGCTCTCCTATCCTTACCTCTAGACACCCAGTCCAGGCCTCTGGGTTTCACACCAGCCTGTTACTTGGAAGAAATGTTTGCAAAGAAGAGTTCTGGCTCACCCAAGCCTCTCGGGCATTTCTGACATGAGGTGGAATGGTCAGCGGAAGGTATCAAATGGGCCATCGAGATGAAATGGGTCTCATTCCAAATGGCTACATTTCCAACCAGTTTGGGTTCAAGTTTTTTTTTTTTAATGGAATACTTTGAAACCATCTTAGTTATATTATACAGTAATGTCATTCACTGATGGGCATTTGGGTACCTAACACTAAATGTTATTTTTTTAATCAATTATTCCTAAAGGAGAGAGTATCTCTTGCATAAAGCACACATATTTAGAAACATTTTAAAAAAATAGAAACCACTGCCCCGTTCTCCAAAGGACATAGTAAGCGACATAGAATTGTGACAGTTCATCGCCCAGAAAGTTACTGGTGCATGTTTCTACCCAGTGTCTTAGATGGCAGCAAGGGTAATAATTTCCCAGAAAACTTCATCTATAGCTGGCTTCTGGAGACGCGCAAAAAAAACCCCACCCCCGCAAAAAAAAAATCCAATTATATATGTGTTATAATTTGCAAGCAAAACATAGACCCTGAAGTAGGAAATGCCACTAAATAATCTAAAACTCTTGCTGAATCCTCACACTTACCTGCAATGGGTGGGCCCACTGTCATGGGTACAGACATGAATCCGAGCAGGAATCCAATTGCTTGGGAGACATCTCGGTCACCAACTAACTCAAAAGCAATGGGGGCCATGATGGAGATGAAGCAGCCATCGAAGAGACCCATGATGAGACAGACAGCAATGAGGGCCCCGAAGACGTTACACAGGGGAATCATCATGGACATCAGACCAATGAAGACAAAGGAGACTACCTAGGACAGACACCACAATGTCAATGTTGCACTCCGACAAGGCGAATGGTACAATCACTGAGCAACACATTCACAACTCGTGATTCCTGCTTCGTTTTGTTTTCCTCCCCGAGTTCATCACGGGAGAAGGTCAGGGCTTCTACACCATAAACAGTTAGTCTCGGAAACCCACAGGGCAGTTCTTAGTCTGTCCTACAGGGGTGCTAGGAGTCGGCATTGACTTCATGGCAGGGAGGGTTTCTTGTTTGGTTAGTTCATCATCTTGATTTCACATACACACAACTGGCTCCTACTATCATCTCCCTGGGTTCCCCTGGTACTTACTCAATATTCCCATGCAGGCATGAAAGTAGTTTTGGGGGAGGCAGTGGAAGCTTTAAAGAACTGTAATTTATTTTATCAAGGCCTTGGAGACCAGAAGTTCAAATTCAGGCTTCTGGTTCTAGAGAATGGAATCCTGGTAGCATAGTAGGTTAAGTGTTGGGCTGTTAACCACAAGACCAGGGGTTCAAACCCACCAGCAACTCCATGGGAGAAAGATGAGGCTGTCAGCTCGAGCTGGGAGGCAAAGGGCATTTATAGAGGTCTAGATAAAGACATGTACATATGCAAATATATTTATATGAGGATGGGGAA